CTTATATATGGGCTTGATGTAAAGGAGGAAATCTTGGAAGGATGAATATGGTGTTTCATTTATGTTCAATGGAGTAATTGTCCCCTTCATTCTTATTATGAATGTTGCAAGTGGTCATAACATTGTTCTCACTATTGAAGTAATAATCTTGAAGACTTTTTAGAATTAGAAAAAAAATTCAAGCTTAGGCTGAGAATGAGACACTTTTTGGGGTAAGAGCAAGCCTTGCTAAATCTGTGTGATGTTGTGACCTAATATCTAGGAGCTCCAGAATTGTCTTGCATGAAAATACCAATGCATTTTTTGTAGCTTTCAATGGCACCTACAAGGATTTGAAACTTAAAAGCACCAAACCTGCTATACTTGAAAAAGAGAAGGCCCCCATTTACAAAGAATCGATGCCAAAGTCCCCCAAAGTTAGAGTTCAATGAGCTTGCTAAAGCCCAACTGCCATTGACCACTTGTAGATCAAAATCTAGTAGTTTAGATTACTAAATTAACACCTTTACGCTTACTTCTTCATCCTACAAATCCACCTCCAATAGAAGAAACCATGGAGATTTTGTATCGCTTTAATTGCCACAATTGCAATGACTTTGCCATCGGTGGAATGCCAAATAAGAAGGCTTGGGCTGCAATACCGCCGCTACTTACAATTAACCAAGGAAATACGATTTAGACACACTACCAAACCGTCAACCTCCACATTGATCAAAGGAGAAGAAGAGTGCTGCTGCAAGGTCCGTGCAAGGTGAGGTATCATTGCAGATTGTAAATTGTATAAATTACATTAGTATTTCTATTTTTATATCTAATTGTCTCAAAATTCCACTACTAACTCAAAAAATTAGTGATTTAAAGCACTATAAGTGAGTTTTTTGTTTTTTGTACTAAATCCACAAGTGAGTTGATTTGGTGACTTATAAAGATGTTAAAAAGATTAAAAAATGGCTACAACCTTACTTTTATATGTACTAGTTATCGAAACAATTTTGCAAAAGCTTTTTAGAAATCATAAGACTTGTGGTTTAAATATTAAATTGTAGGTTGCTTCTTAAATAACTTTTTAAATGTAGAAAATTAATATGTTAAGTTTCAATAGCTACATGGAATATCTATAAAAGTCTAAATATATAATACTTGTGTAAAGTAATTTATTTAAAGATTCTTAATAAAGATATTATCTTTCTATTATATTTTTATATATTTCTATTTACATAAATAATATAGGCATCTATTACATAAAACGAGTATATATTGTTGTTTTCTAGTTATTTGATATAAATAAGGAGGTTGAAGGATTTGTCATGTATGTTTCTACTAGCTTTTTTTTTTTTCTACTATTTATATATCTATTAGCTTTATATTTGTAGAAAGTATAAAAAATCCATCTTTTATTTAGATGGCATTTATTAAGTCTATAATAAAAATAAAGTTCTAATGTCTTTGATTTTAGTGACAATTTTTGATCATTATAAAATTACTGAAAATATTTCTTTATAATTTTGATTATTATTTTTTTAATTTTTAAAGAAGATGATAGAATTTTTTATTTTTTATTTTTATGTCTACTAGTATTTGGTATTTTTTAATTCCATGACTTATATTTAAGTAATATCTTTAATCAATAGATAAAAAAAATATTATCTATCTATCTATCTATATATATATATATATATATATATATAATATTAAAATAACCAACTCATTTATCAAATTAATCTACCCTATTATAGCCATCATTAGAAAAATCTATTACCTCTAAAAACCATTATTTCAATCATGATTCTCATCATGACCTCCTTTGTTTATAGTCCTTGTTCTCTCCATTTTTAGTCTTTTTAATCTCAACCCCTCTTCTTCTCTCTCTCTTTCTCTTTCTCTCTCCTCTTCCTTCCTCCTTTCTCTCCTTCTCCTCCTTTGTTTCCATTTGTATAAGCCTCAATCAAAAGTTCTACTCAACAATATCTATAATTCGATCACATATACATTCTTATCAAATAAAATAAAACAAAAAATGAAGTCTCATATGTCAAAGAAGTTCACTACTTGACTTGAATTCTAATGCCTTTTAAACCTTGAATCTTAGATGAATATCTTTTCTTACCTCACTAATGCAAGATTGAATAAAACTCAAACATATCATTAAAATCTTTCTTCAGATTCATTAATTCAAAACACAAAGAATAACAATAAGAAACTTCACTATGGTATGTTATTAAAATATTATTCTTTACAGATTTCAAACATGCGCATGTAAAATAAAAAATGGTGTAATTTCTTAATACTAAGACTCTTTCAAAGAACATTATTTTTTCTTTATTCTAAACTTCATGTAATTTCTTTGTTTTAAAGTTCTGTGATTTAATATCAAAAATAAAATTTTAAATCTAATAATCAAGAAATGTCATATATATATATATATATATATATATATATTATAATTATTATCTATATAATAAAAATAGGTAGAAGTAGGTAAAAGTAAATTAATTTTGTAATACCTTCTATAGAAGCTTCCTAGAAGCTTTTTAGACGTTGTTTTGACTTTATATGTATTTGTAGCTGATTGGTAGGTTAGAAACTTGGTCAATAAGCTAACCATGTGCCACATGTGTTGGTAGCTTGTGGAACAAGCTAACTATGTGGTGTCCATATAAAAAACTTGCCTTGTAACTTAAGATATGTGTCATGCAAAGTTAACACATTTTTGGAGGTCTTATAGAATATCGCCACATGGATCTTAGGTAGATAGTATATATAGAGGAAAGAAAGAAGCCTTCTTCACTCTTAACAACTCCTTTCTTGTTTCTAGTCTAATTTCAAGAGTCTCTAGTTTCTTTGTCTTTTGGCAATAGCCATTCCAATTTCCTTTTAATATACATGCTTTTATATTTCTATTTTGTCATATTTCTTTGAGAGAGCCGCATTTGATTATTTGCTTTCATCAAGTTCTTGTCCTTGACATGCAATGAGATCTATAAAAAAATAAAGAAATAAACCATATATGATATTGATGATAAAATTTAGTAACAAATTTTGAAAGAAATTAATTCTTTGCAAAAGTGAAGTAGGATGCTTGAGGAAGAAAGCAAAAATATGTCATCAAATTACTGTGAAAAATAATGCTTAGGTCATAGAAGCTATATCATTTGGTACAAGTTTAATTATTTTCTTTGAAAGACTAAAAATTCTTCAAGTAAGAATAAAAATTTGATGCTTAATACACATATATAATTAATTTTTTTTCCTTAAATTCTTTCCAACCCTCTTCAATATACAAAATCAAGTCATTATTCTCTATTAATACATTTTTTTTTTCTATACTCCATTACAAATATATAACTAGAATCTATTTTTCATGCAAATGCATTCATTTTTTTTTTTTTTTTTTTTTGGAGTGGTTGTATTATAAGATCATAATCTATATATCAAACCTTCATTTGACCTAAAAATGAGCTATGAAGAATAAACGCATGTTGATTTTTCAATATTACTAAGAACAAGCACTATTTTACATACAAACCTTCAATTCAAAATAAAATTGTTTTAGAATTAACCTTACAAAATTCAAAGCCTTTGGATCCAATAAGTTTAAATGGACATTATAAAAACTTCACTACAAGATAGAAAAAAAAAAAATTTCATAGAAAGGTAGTAGATGGATAATAAATAAAAAGGTGCTAAATGTCTGGAGGGGAATGGAAGATTGAGATGAGAGTTAGGAAGAAGAGTAGTAAAGGGGGTTGAGATGAAGGTTAAGAATAGGGAGAATTAGAGGGGTTGGGATGAGGGTTAGGAATGAGGATAACAAAGAGAATTGAGATATGATTTAGGATTAGGAAAAACAAGGGATGTTGGAATGAAGATTAGGAATAGAGAGAATAAAGTAGACATGGAGGAAGAAATTGAGATAAAAAAGGCTGAAAATGGTTAAGATGAGAGCCATGATTGTAATGATGGTTTCTAGTGATGGTCCATTTTTCTAATAATGATTTCAATAGGGTGGATCAATTTAATAAATAGGTGGGTCATTTTAATTTATATATATATATATATATATATATATATTATAGCGATTATGGAATTAATTTCTCTAAAGCAAGGTTTCTAGCATCTTTTGAAGTTAGTTGCAATATGTAAGTAAAGATATAACATAATAGAATTATTCTTATTTCTTAATAAGACTAATAGTTGTTTTCTTTAAGAGCTAGTCATTGTCATAAGTTTCTTTGGAAGTTTTTAAGAAATGATATAAATTATAATTTTTCTTTAGATTGTGAGACATTAGAAATATATAAATCAAATTATATTGTTTATTCTTATAAGGTACAAATTTTAAAAGTGGTTTTATAAGGTTTAGTAATTAAGATTTATTTTTGCTATTTCTAAAATAATATTTTAATAAAAAATAATTTATTATTGAAATAAATGTTATAATTTTAGAAAAATTCTTTTTTCTTTTTTTTCTTTTTTTTTAATCCAAAATTAAGAACCATTGTTTAATGACAAGATTTGTATTTTTACAAGTCTTACAATTATCATAAATCATTCCAAGTATTTTAATTCTTGTTCAACAATTTAATTACCTTCTTTAAGAATTTGGTTAAAAGTACAAACCACCACATGTTAGAATTCATAATCGTACAACATCTAAAAATACTTAGAAGATTCCATCCATCAACTTTCTACTAGATTTTACTCATTCTATGGACACAACTCTTAAAACTATACAAACACATCATTTTACAAGAATCTTATCATTTCCTTTCGTACACTAAACTCTCACATTTGAGGGGATCAAATTCTCAATTCTTTTTAGTCCGTCTTCTTAATATATCCGATAACCCCATTGGTTACATAATTATAAAAGACACCTTTCAACAGCAAAACAGTAACTGTGAAGAGAGGGTGTAACGTGAAGCTCAACAACCACGATGGGAGAGGAGGGAATTAAATTGGCGCTGACGTCACCTTCAACACCAAAGGAGGAGGAAAATCTCACAAACACACATGCAGAATGAGAGCTCAGGGCTTTTAGGGTTTCGCCATGGAATTCCTTCGTGCTCAGCAAATATGCCTGTCTTTGCTCCATCGTGGTGGATGTTCCCGATCGATCACTCACAGTTCCGGAATGCCGATGCTGGAGTGGTTGGCGGTTGGATCGCTGCCACAGAGGTGATCAGCGGGATGCATTGAGCTAGATCCATGCGTGTGTAGCGAGAGAGGGACAGAGATTGAGACGCACGGGTGGTGGATGCGTGGGGGGGTGGCGACAGAGGGATCGGGTTTTGTTCTTGACGCGGGGATTGATTAGGAGGAGGAGGAGGAGGAGGAGCAGCAGAAATTGTCGAGTATTGAATCACGTGAGCCATGAATTTTCTGTTGCGGAGCACACAGCCGAGTGTTCCGGAGCCCCCTCCTCCTGTAGTGGAGCCGACCAAGGGGGCATTGGAGAGCGTTGCCTCCTGGCCTGGGGCGCTGTCATCGGCGGGAGACTATCACGACGATTCCAGGCTGTTTCCTGGGTCTGCCAGGATGAAGACTCGCATGCCGATCGAGGGTCACGCCGATGTCGCACCTGCGGATGGCTCCATCTTGGTTCCCTTTCGTGAGTAGCCCACCGATTCCTTCTCCCATTTTTCCTATCATCTTCTGCTGCCTTGCGATTTATGAAGACTGTTCTTTTGCTAGAAGAGCTCGCATTTTGGTTTGGACTTTGTGTGCACTTTCAATTTTAGGGTGCCATGTTGGATCCCAGTTCTAGAGCGTTGGGTTGCTAAGTGTCAGTAAAGAAGGCCAGTTCATCGAAGTAGCAGTACATTAAAAAAAAACAGGTAAATTGCAAGGCTAGTAGATGTGTAGAGCTCATAGTGAATTCTAGATGTTTTAGCTTTTGAAATCATCGATGCGGACGTCTTGCAGAGGAATTGTCGGAGAACTGGTATGAGGCTCCCAATGTGGCATCTCTTTTGACCTTGGATCGCCCATTTATATTTCCTGGTATTATTGGCTCGTCTCCATACTTTGTCTATTTATTTTACTATTTTAGGAATTCTGTGGTGCATAAGTACGTTCTACGTTAGGTTTTGACTGGGCTGATTATGATCTCAAGCTTAGAATTCCACGTGGACAAGTTGTCGCGGCCGCTAGCTACTCAATGGAAGTATTTCGTGCACGGGAATGTGTGGATCAGCATTACTTTTAATTGGTGCTTCGGAAAGCAATTTACAATATTATCTATTAATTGTGCTCACACTACTTCGTCCTTTTCGTTTGCTACATGACTTATGTTGGGTGAATTGGAATATTAGGAGAGCAGCTTCATATCATCCTCCATATTTCGGTTCATCACCCAGCGGAGTCTAGTATCATTACTCCTTTCAAGATAGCTGCAGCTATTGAGAAAGGATCGCAGTATGAAGACTATGGATCAGATTCAGTCCAAGACTCTACAGAGAGCTCCCAGGAAAACCTTCAGGAGTTAGGGAAGATCAAGACTCCGAAATCGGCTAAAAGTTCCTTGAAAGGCAAGTGGTTCAATACCACTCCAGGAGGCAATCTTGTGGCAATAACTGAATGGCTCGATGAACAACAATCTGAGGACGATGATGGTTCATCCGAAAGTCAAAAACGGAGAACTGCATTGCTATTAGAGAGTTTTCAAAAATCTCATTTTCATGTCAAAGTTGGTAAAAGAGCTGATGGAATTGCAACAAAGCCTAAAGATGGTGTGGGACGACCGGAGCAGAGCGAGGAGGACTTGTCAGATGAGGATGGTCCTGATACAGATAGTCCTGGCACTGCTTACGGATGCAAACCTGTGGTAACAGAGGATGGAAAATTTGAACCATTTACTACAGGGGGCTTAGCCAGAGGAGCAACTTCTTGCTGGTCGCTTAGAAATGGTGATGTCGTGGTGAGTTATTCTCCCATAGTTGATTCCCATTCATATAATTTGTAACAGTAAATTGGAACATTATTCTACTTTGTTTTGGTGGATATTTTGTGTTCATTATATTCCTATGAAAGGCTTGAGATTTTCTTTTAAGTGATTTTATAAATTAAACCATACAATCTACACACATGTGATGTTATTGTAATCTGCATGGCGCTTAAAAACATTTGGGCGTTTAAGTAAAAGCTATGCAGTATTATGTTTTTAGAAAATGTGGAAACACTGAAACGTGAGCTGCAATGAAGGCGATAGTCTCTGATCAATAGTTGGTAGAATGCAGGTTTTACTTCAAGTCACGATGGCCTCAGAATTCTTATCAAACTCTGCAGAGCTTGAAGTTCTTCAGTACGAGCCCTATGTAACGCCTCCCGCGTATCCGATGGACGATCAGTTTCAAGAGATGTCTAAGAATCCTACTGAAGGGTTACTACAATGGCTCTTGCCTTTAGATCGACCATCTTCTCCCCCTCCTCCTGCCTCCGCGCCTCAACCGGCTCTTACACCTAGTCCTTCAGGTAGACTGTCATTCGCCGGTGGAGGTAATTCAACGTTTTTTTCTTTTTCTCACGTTCGAAGTTCTTCAGTGGGGTCAATAACGACCCCTGCTCCTCCTCCAGTGGTCACTTATACACCACCTCCACCTCCTACTTATGGTCCTGAGGAATGGGGTCGCTTCTCATTTGAGAAGGATTCTCAAGGAGAAGTGGGTAGCGAAGGACTTCTTTCATTTAGAGGAGCTGCGCTTGAACCTCAGCGCTTCTCAGCTCACGGTCTTTCAGGACCTTACGTCCCTGGAAAGAGGTGGAAGCGTACGTTGGCCATTCTGCAGCCTGTGAGATTGGAATCATATTTCGCTGATTGTAACACTCAGGATCTCATCTGCATCCTTGTCGAGGTTCTTCTCTTCTTCTGGATGTCTATGCTGTGGCGTCGAGTTCATTTCTTTGGTTTTCTATTTGTAAATTTCACTCTTGGTATTTTGTATACTCCCAATGTATGTGGATGACCATTCATCATTTCACTCATGCTTTGTGTTTGTTTCTTTCATCCTTTGTTATTCAGCTCAAAGTTATCGACTCAGTCAAGTTGATAGCCAACTCCAGCATCTCATAGATTTGCAGTTTTACTTCTAGTTCTTATACTGATTATCGTTGTCGTTGCCTTTTGCAGAATTCATTACCAGCTACAGGAATGACGGCAGACGTTGTTATCTATGTTGACTCTGTTAGTATTGTATGTCAATCTGCTTCGCCAGGGAGCTTGCCGCTGCCTGTTCCCATTGCTTGTGTGGAGGTGGGGGAGGATCATAGCCTGCCAGGTCTTGCTCTCAGGTTGGTGGTCTTGTTTAACCCTTATCTCTCTTCAGGTTATCTATCTTTTTAAGTCCTCTGTATGCTGAAGATTCGTTTAACGCTTCAAAGAATAGAGTGTAGATTCTCAATCAATATGATGGTTCTGCGTTAGACAATCTACATGATACATAGTTATTTGGCTTCTTATTTTGAGAAGCATTGTGGTCTTCTAGCATTGTGAAAAGCTCAGCTTTAGTAATGCGACATCATCATCTTTCTGCTATGCAATGATGATTCTTTCTAATTGCTTCTCGGTTGACTACTCTCCTCATGGCAGACCGGGTGAACAACACTCTTTCATTTTGAGGCCTGTAAGTCAGGCATGGTTGACCGGGAAGCAGCCTGCTGTGGAAGACGGCACACCTAGATATCGTTCTTCACAGGATGGACAAGGTATTGGGAACATAAAAACGAGACGTGGTAGCAATCATGAGTCAGACTGTGGTGAATATGCTATCCTTGTGTCGTGCCATTGCAGTCACACAGGTAAACCCTACTTCTCAATTGTGGAGTACTTTTAGAACTCGTTTTTACGTCTGATGAATTATTTTTGTTTTGTACGTCACTGTTCTCGATTGTTCACGTGTAAATGAATAGAAATTCATTGATAGCAATCATCTGAAGTGTGTGTTTTCATTGGTGAACTTACGTTACTTTTGGAGTGTGTCTATTTTATTGATCTGGTTTTGCTGGGACTACATTTCAGAATCAAGACTACACTTCAAGCACTCTCTCACTTGGCGGCCACGTCCGCCTCGAGATTTGTTACTCTCCGTAGCTCTTGAAAATTACTCTCCAGCAAAACTCTCTGGTGAAACTCTGGCTCAGCTTACACCTCAGGTATAACAACCTTATTATTTTATTATTTTCCATCCTTCTTACTCCCACTGCTCCCGTTGCTGCCAAGAATGTGTGCTGGTTTTTGCGTTTATACTTATTACTTGGTAGTAACCATTTTGAACATCAATTTTGCCCCAATTTGAGCAAACGATTTGGTGGATTGTCAGGTGGTACGTGTGCAGGCAACGAACTTGACATCACAAGACATGAATTTAACACTACTTGCACCCAGTTCAATGGCTGGATCCTCTCTCTCAATTGTCTCCTTTCCAGGCAATGATACCCCAGTCGTTTCTAAAAGCAGCGAACATCAGCAATCACTGACAGTACGGGAAGTTCTTGCGATGGAGGATTCAGCATCCGAATCCAAGCTGAGTTCTCAACTGTCATCTCGAAGAATGTCTCTACCCCCAGTCCAGCCCATGGAGATGGTATTGGGTATAAAGCCAACAGTGTTGAAAGAGCGTATAATCTCTGATTCGGATGCTGCTGCTGATAGTGGATCTGCTCGAACTCATCTTTGGTTGCAGAGCACTGTTCCACTTGGGTATGTCCTGATCCCTCTCTAGATCTGGTTTAGTTTTAAAAAGCATCTTATTTCATAGCGTTTCTCTTTGGTATTTAGTTTGCCTTTGGAACATAGGTCTTCCCAGTTATGTGTTTTATTGAAATACTTTGTTTGGGAAGTCGATGCTTTAAGCGTTTATGATGATTTCACCTAGTATTCAAGTTACGGGATCAGAACGCTCATCTACGCTCTTTTGTATTCATGTTTCATATTTCAATGGTTTTTCTGATGCCACTTTTGTATTACTCAAAACTTCAGAGAAGCAGTCCACTTCAGTAGAATTGCTCTTTTCGTAGCACCAGTTTGAGCTGTGACAGATTGCTGAACTGCTCTTAGTCGCGTCCTTGTATTAAGTTGTGAGTTTTTGCCACTTCTGACATGAGGCTGAAAATTATGTACTGGTGTAGTCGGTTGCCCCCTCATGCAACAACTGCGGTTCGATGTGAGCTTCTTCCCCTCACAAGCGGCATCATCACGCTCGATACCTTGCACATTGCAACGAATGAGCACGGTAATTCTATTATCTGATATACAGTTACTTTCTTTCGCTTACATTCTTGGTGATTGTTTGTATGAGCTGTAATGGAATGACCAAGGTACTTCTTTCGCAATTACCAACGGATGAGTGGTGGTGTTGTGCAGATGCTTTGTACATTCCAGAAAATTCTTTGCAAGTTTATTGCACATCAAGCCTCGCAAGTGGCGTCTCATGATTGATTTTACTTAAATTATTCATTCAATCGACATTGACGCGTATTCAACGATATATAATCAAATCATAGCACCACACTTCGCAGGAGTCACTGCAATTTGAGGATTTGATTTGGAGGATGCGTATTCTAAAACCCTTGTATCCTTTAGTAAGGATAGTTATGTACATGCTTCTCCACAACACGGTCATTGGGAGGGCTTTGGAATTGAAGAAATTTACGATTTTGGTAACATCGAATTCAATGCTTCTGTTTTGTGCAGAAACTCGCTGAATCTGATAGGGCAATTATTATGATGATTTCTAGACTGCTCAATGGTTTGTCCGATTTGATATTGTGAAAAAAGGTCGCTCGCCTAGAATTGAAATTTGCGTATGAACTGGAATGCGGATTAGCCAGGGGCGATGCTGTTTCCAAGCATGCTTGCGTGAACATTGAGCTCCTGACATGCGATGCCAATTCGCTAGAAGGGTGCATCAGAGGTAAACATTAGCTTCCGAGCTCTGATTAGACTCCTGAAATTTGAGTATGCACATTCGGTGGTTTTTGAGAACAATACACAGTTCAACTTCTTTTGATGTTATTTGACTGCTAAAGTCTGAACACATATGCACGTGCTCAAGTAACATTTCTATAGGTTTGCATTTAGATTAAATTACACGTAGAATTAATTGAATCCTTCAAAAGTTAACAATATTTATTCATAATGCTTTTACAATTTTTCTTACACTCAGCAAGTCCATAATACAGCCCTGTTAGTAAATCTTTTCTAGAGACATAAGTATGTTTACATTTAGAAAAAATTAACACTTCAAACGCATCAGTTACATATGTTGGACTGTCTACCTTTTCCTCTCTGGCTGTCAATTGTCCTTTTGGAGTACTAATGCTTGACAATCAGCCATGTGATTACGTGCTTGTTGGTCTGATTTTGATTGGTTGACCATGCAATTTGTGTAATGCGTTTCTGAAAACTCTTCGGCATCTCTTCTAAGGTAGTGATGCAGCATTACTAGCAAATACCCCTGGTGCGCTCTGCTTTTGAGGTTTGCTAATCCTCAACAGTCGCCAATTCATGAATTTCAGGCAACTGCATCACTTTTGACTCTATGCACTCTCAGATGTCAGGCTAGTTGATAAGAATTGGTTAATGCATTGGAAGTGTTGGTCAATTTATTTTTCATTATGCTAAGTACATGAGCAAGTGAATAATCTATGGGGAAATTAAATTGACCCACATTAATCTCAAATTCAAGATATAATTCTCACCTCTATGTGAATAGTTGTTAATTATTTTGTATGCATCAATGGTAATTCTATTCATTAGTCTTACAATAAACAATGGACGTGGACTATTTGTCTAAGAATTATGCTTGTGTAGTTCACAAATCCAACATTTCTTAGGTAATAGAGGTTTAGTTTTATTGGGATCAATGACAATGCTTTTGTTGTTCCTAGCTGTAAAGATTTCTTGTTCAATAATACTTTAAATTGATCAATGAGATGATTTGGCCATTGTTGCCTTCAACGCACTTTTTACCTAGTCTTGGTTCTTTTTTAATAGAGGTTTTTTTAGCCAAAGTGATTTAGTTGTTAATTCAAGTAATCAATTTTGAATTTTTCCTTGTTAATGGGGTGCAAGTATTTGGTACTTTACAACAATGAGAAAGAATTTAAGTGTTTTTGGTGCCATCATATATATATAAGTCAAGTTGCTTGTGGTATTATTAATACATAAAATTCTTTAATTCTCTCATTTCATTTTTTTGGAGTAGCTTTCTATAGTGATAATCATAAAATTTTTGTGAAATTTCTAAATAAATGAAAAAATTTCATTTTTAAGAATAAATTTTCCAAAGCATTTCTTTGATTATATGTACATAAGACTATTTTATTTTTTGTGTAAAACTCTTGGAATAAGAAATGTCTATTTGGTTTACTTTTAGAAACTATTTGTGCACTTCTTTGAGCACAAATGTACACACTTTTTAGATAACTTTTTTATGAAGCATTTGACTATGATTACAATAAATCCCTATGTGTTCCCTTGCAATTTAAGAACTAATTTCATTGACTTAATTCAAATGCTCACGACAAATTCATCTAAATTTAAAGCAAATCTTAGGCTCAAACTTGCAAATATTCCTTCAAAATGGAGTGAGCTTCTTCTATATGCATAGAATTTATATTCATAAAGTAAGAGTACTTATTTGTCCATGCTGCAAGAAAGTAATCTTGATAACTCTTTATCTAATAATTGTTGTATTTAATAAGTATTAACATAGCTTAGTACTTGTTCTTTAACTTGTTTCTATGCATTTCAAAAGCTTGCATGGTGCAAGAGTACATAACGCTTTAAGAAATTTGCTAGAATGCATCTCAATCTTCTTTGGTCTCAAATTATTTTTTGTAGTTTGTCAACACATTTTAATTGATGTACCAAAGACTAAGAAGCAGTTGTAAGAGAAAAAAATCTTCCAAGTATATGTATCAACATAAGTTCACAATCTATTGTTATTATAATTGTTTTTTAACAAGAAAAAAAACTAGGCCCATTGTTTTATGGCTCATGCATAATATGCTTTGCTTTCTTCATACAAAAATACGACTATAATAGCAAATCATATATTAAAGCGTGTCATGCCAATAATTGGAGTATTGACATCTTGAATTTAATTGTTTTGAATGTATAGTCAATTGTGAGTTAATATGGATATTCCTTTGATAATTTGACCCAACTTGGATAGGCATAAAATAAATGTATCATCTTATTGGAAGTATTGTAGTTATAATTGATATAATATTCATCTTTGTAGAAGATATTTATGAAAAAATAAGTGAGGATTAATCTTACAACTTGGCTTGTAGAGATATACTAGTTCATAATAAATTTTTTAGCTAATTGTATTTGAGCTAGTATTTTTCATTTCTAAGGTAGTCTATATATATTTTAGTGTTGTTCTCATACTAAGCAAGTATACAATGTATGCATGCTCAATAGGTTGACATTTGCAAGCAACTTAAAGACTATTAATTTTTACATGTTTGTAATAATGTTTGTTGTTGCAAACTAAGATATAACACTAATTATTAGGTTTTAATAATCTCCTATAGATCTCAAATGAATATTCAATTAAACATGTAGTTATATTTTGTTGACATATTATATAATTGGCATCCGGTTCATTTTGAGGGTTATACCATCAATTGCAATTATACTTTAAAGTGATCCTAGTAGCATTTAAACTTTGCTTTATAAGTGCATATCTTTATATATATACAAAATGATTATTTGCATTGATGTCCCTCTTTAATGATTCATAAGATTGTTCTATTGTAGATAGCATTGTTCCTAAATGTATAATTAATGATATAATAAAATTGGATTCTACAATGTTTCAATTAAAATCTAATGCTTATTGGATAGAACTTTTAATCTTCTAATTAGAATATAATACATGTAAGATTAGACCTTACAATCTCTCAACTAAAATTTTATGCATTTTATTGTATTCTAACATGGCTATTGGATGAAAAAGAAAAAATAAAAATACTATATTATAGAAGAGATTTATTGAAAGTATAATAAAAAAATTACTTTAAAAAATATAGATAAAAGATAGGAAAGTAATAAAATAATAATAATATTATATTTTTATAAAATAGCTTGTACTTACTTTTTAGACCTATAAATAAGATAAAATAAAGTAGATTATAAAAATAATATTATAGATATTTTTAGATATAAATAAAGAATATTTTTTATCAAAAAAATTCTAAAATATTTTTAGATTGGTACTTTAAAAGGACTAGTTGTGAACTAAAGTTGAAACCAAATCCAAGGCACAAAACAACATGCTTATGGTAAGAGTGGTATTTTTTTTGTTTATTAAAGAACATGTTTGATGAATAGACTTCATAGAGTTTTTTTGAGCATTTTTTAAAGATTTTACTATAATTTCTTTATAATTTCTTAAAGATTTATTTAAGATATATTTAGGATTATTAAGGTTTTTTAAGAAAATTAATTATGATTTTTATGGATTATTTAAGATTTTATTTAAAATTGATTAGAATGTAAGAAGATATAACTTGGATTTTTTTGTGATTGATAGGATATACTTAAAATAATTAGAAGCTTACCTAAATTATTTAAGTTTGTTAAAAAGACATATCTAAATATCTTATGCATTATTTTGGGTTACAAATCCAACTTCAAGGTAAGATTAAATCCTTCAATAACCAGATCTCTAATCCATTCTCAAATTGATTTTTACATAACACCACATTATAATACTATAAAACTACCAAACTATAATTTAAACAATAAACTTTGTACTTGTATTGCAATATAAATTAAGAGTATGGAATAAGGTATGAAAATCAAGATATTTTTTTTTATTGATTCAAGATTGATAGTTTAATAAAATAGCTCTAATATGTCATATTGACAATGATGAATATACAACCATTATCATATTAAACTTGCAAAAAGTAACACATTAAACCAATAATCTTTTTGTCATAGTACAACACTTATATTTTGATCTATACAATAAGTTGTTAAGGTTTTAATCTACAAATAAATTCAATTCTAATCCATAGAAAAAATTGTTTAATTTTAATCTATAAAATTAGTTTTTTAATTCCAATCCAAAATATATATATATATATATTTTGAATCTACAATATAAGTTGTTTAATTCCTACCCACATAAGAAGTCCAAGAAATATAAAGTAATTAGTTTAATTCCAATCTACACAAAAAATTATTCAAATCTTTAAGTTAAGTTCTAATCTATACAACAAGCTCAAGCAACTCAAGTCTATAAATTCATTTTTGATCTACATTTGTATAGCCATTCTCACTTTTTTGTTTTTCTTCTTTTACGTTGGTAAATTGTGCATTGCTGGTTGCATGCACAATTGCTCATCCTTCTCAATAGTTGTAAAAATGATTGCTTTTCTTTTTTTATAGTAGAGTAGATGGTTGTTTATTTTCTTTAATGGCTACTTAAATAATTGATCTCCTTTCTTGATGTTACTAGATTGCACATAGATAGTTGAATAAATAATTATTATTGCTAGAAGATATGGTGGCAAAGCTCTAATCAATCTACAAGCAAAGTAAAGTAGTAGCAAGCATAGTAGCAAAGCCTTCATTAGTGTTGGAGTAAAGTAGAGTAAATCTAGTAAAAATTACAATAAGATTGTAATCAAATAAGCAAATCAATTTAAGATTTAGATGGGTTGAATTAATATATCCATAATTTAAAATTTTAACTATACACAAAGCATTTTATTGATTAAAAGTCTATGAAAAATAATATTTATATTAGACTTAATAAATAAAAATAAAATTTTATAATTATATTAATGTATATATATATATATATATATATATATAGTAATAATATCATTTATTTTTCAATAAAAAAGATGTAACCACTAAATAAATACAAACAATGTAATAATTTTAAGTTTATTTATAAAAGTCTATTTAAAAACTAAATAAGTTGATAAGAACCACATTTCTACAATTTATTGTTACATTATTAGTTGTCAACAATTGTCTTGATTTGGATCAAATATATGATTATTGCATCTATAATTTAATATTTTTAAATATATAAATATCATATCTTTCTTCTATTTGTAATACCAAATTTAAAGTAAATATTCTAACAAGCAAAAATATTATGTAAAGATTTGGAAAAAAGATAAAGATATATG